AAAAGTTTTAGTCATTATTCTTGTGGTAGCTAATAGCTATTAACTCAAACGGGGACTCATCTCCATAGCAGCGGGTTATTTACTTGAGGAATATAATTCAGAAATTGCGAGGAACGTAATTATGAGACTACCGTATGAACTAAAACATAAGGTAATCGAGCCCACTGGTCGAGTTTTGGTTTGAGCGTAATTAATTTGGATTCTTCCTTTTGATCCGAAAATGTTCACTTAAGAATTGATAATTTGTATTTGCAAAAATATGAGCAATGGGGCCGAAAAAAAATATGGTGCTCCTACCATATAATAAGTAAACGAATGTCATCAGTTGGTCAAAAATTTTCAAACAAAAAATACATTTTGATTTGATTACTCCAACCAATAGAAGAACATTATAGAGAATATCAAGATCAATAAGGAACAAAAGGAAACGACCAAATCTTGTCCATTGTCTATGAAAAGCCTATGTATGCATTTGGTCATGAAATTTTTAATTGCTCATTACTGGTAATAGTATAAGACAAGAATTTTTTTTTTAAAAAAAAATTATTATTCTAATTCATCCCGTCAAACTAACTTTGATTGAAATATTCTAATTTTTATTATTTCAACTTACTGCATTTGCATTTTCTTCTAGGAACATCTAAAAAATTATGTTGTCCATGAAGACGTATATGAATAAAGTAGACATCCAAATGCAAAATGGCAGAAATTCATGGCTGTGATGTCTGTGGCAGTAATTTTCGAATTTTATGCTGTCGAATAGTCCTAATCTGGGGAGAGAGTTTTGTCGCCAATGTAGGATTCACTGGTGTGAAAGTGTTTAAAGAATGCGGTAATTATTTTGTTTTTTCCCCGTATCCCCAGATTTGATGAACAGCAACGTTGTTTACCAATTCGTCCTGTTTATCTCGATCCATCTAAGCTTCTTAATAAAACCAACTGCAAATACACTTCCTTTTTTGTTCAGTTGACCAATTGGGGTGTCTTGAATGGGTTGCTTTCAACTTTCAAGACACGCATTTTCTTGATTGTGCGTGGATTGAGGGGTACACACCCAAATAGTTGTTGCCGTATTATTTGTAGCCTGCTACTCTTTTTTCTACTTCTTGAGTGCGCTATCCCCCAGACAAATTGGAATGGAAGTTGCATGCATTATTTGAGTCTTAAAGTCAAGCATTTTTCATTCTGTAAATTCTTTTGTAAAGGCAAGAATATCTTCTAACAAGACAACTTTCTCTTTTTCCAATAAATACTTCAATTTCAAGACAGAAAAGAAACCCCTTAACATTTAGTTTGCAGTATTCTATGGTGAATATGCTCGGCGGTTATCTTCACTGTCAGATACAGAGTTCAAATCTTGTGCCTAACAATTGAGGGTAGGAAGGACGTAGAGCTGTTAATTTCATTTTTATTTTTTTTTTGTGATTTGGATTTTGAGGACCAAAAAAAAATTACCCTAGTTGAGTAACATACTTTAATTTGAATTCCTTAACAAACAATCTCGTTTTATATGCCACAATTGTCTAATTTGCTCAATATCTTTTTTAGTATAATTTTAACTACTATATTTTCCTGACTCTCTGGTTAATAGGGGATCATTGTCTCGCATGTCTTCACTATATACACGAGCAGATCTTCACTATTTGGTTCCGCTCTTCTTATGAAACACTTTCAAAATGGTACTCCTACTCCGCTTTTTTTTAGAGTAAATCTTATATATATATTGACGATGCATACACTATCATGGTTGGATATACGATACATATGCAAAATTTGAGTTTCAAATTCAAATTTGAATTATGTGTCATGCATCTAATAGTGAAAGTGTATACGCTGTCAATGTATAAAAAATTAATCCTTTTTTTAATACACCTTTATGCAAAAAAAGTTTTATAGTCAATGATGGAGTCAGAACCTTTGGTCAGTGAAGACAATATTATACATTAAAAATGATAAAATTACTATGCAATGAGATATTTTGATTTGAAATTATGTATTTATTTTAAGTCATTTTTACATTTTTATAAATTTGTTACTTATTCAAGTAGTATTAATTTTTTTTCTTTAATTAGCTTTGAAACAATTGTACCGAAAGGAGAGATGTCTAAAGTTATTGGTTATTTGGGGAATAGGATTTTTCAAAATATAGGTGGGGAATTTCAAGGGAGAAGGATATTTCTTAGAATTGAGGGGAGCAATTGTGACAAAAATCTAAAAACTCTGTAAATTTTTTATGATTATTCTATAAACTCTGCAAAATTGTTAATGTAGCTCTGCCCCTCAATATAGCAATTTGTTTTAAAAAAAAAAAAAAAAAAAGACACCAACACTAGAATCTAACTAGAGCCTTAGTATCTTATTTGATAGAAAGCAGTAACATTAAAACCTTAATATAATGTATACCTCAAAGGAAACATTGTAAGTTTGATTCTGTTCTCCAACAATTTGGTTTCTTCCAAATACTTTGTAAATCCTCTGACTGAAATTTTGTCACATACCACAACTGAAACATCAACCGAACGTAAAGAATTCTTCAGTAAAAAGAAAGGTTAATTGCCTCTGGATTTCACCCCATGAGAATATATAATAGACCAATGAATGCAATGGCATAATTAATCTGCACCTTCAATTGTAGGCTGCCTATAAATCTCAGGCCCTGATTAGCTTTTCTCTTCCATCGACATTTCATCTAAAACAAACTCAATGGCCTCTTCTCCTCAGCTTTTAACCACTTTCTTGTTCACCCTTTTCATCAATGTAACAATATATCACAAAACAGAAGCTTTGAAGGTTGTTGATCCAACTGATGGCTTCGTTTCTCTTCCACTAAATCAATCAAACTTTGAAATTCAAAGACCTTATAACGTGCCAGTAGATCAGCGATATTCGTACGTTGATGGAGTTCATAAAATGTGGGTTTTCGATACCGATAAACCTCATTTTCCTGCGAGCAATACCAGACCTCGTACTGAACTTCGAATAGAGGTAAGTTTACATATTGCAGCTAAATTTATGATTGCCATATTGGTCAAGTTTTATATGGAACAAAAAAAAAAGGTAGCAAGTCTGCATATGTTTTGTAAAAGCAATTACGTATGGTGCTTATCTGAAAATTTAAGGGTAAATTCTGAAATTGGACTTTCTCTAACACAAACAAGTTTTGCACCTTTTGAATTTTGAAGCACACAGCGTGATCATTTCACTAGTTAATAGGCTTCGAGGCACAAGGTTTGAAATTATTGATCAAGTTAATTAATTTAATTACAAAGAGATCACTGTAAAGTAGTGAAGGGTTTTGAGCTTGTTCTTGATTGCAGTAGATTTTGTTAAAGTTAATTGTGAAAAGTAATTATAGAGAATAATGAAAATTAATCAAAACTACTCTTCGGTATTAAATCCTTTGCTATAAGAAAAATATAAAACCTAGACGCAAAAGTACTAGACGAGAACATCAACCAAAAAAAGAAAATTGATCATTAAAAATCAAAATATATAATCAGATGAAATAATCAAACAATAAACAGCTCCTCGTCAAGAGTCGTATCAATTATTGAGAGCCAAAATCCGAATCTAAAGGAAAGAAGGGAGGAAAACATCCCAAGACCTATGAGCTTTCGAAGACGAGACAATCACTTTTTGTTTTATCAAATACATAATCTTCTGCTGTGTTTTGCGAAACCATGTACATAGTTGGTATAACCTGTCTCCTAAAGTCCATATAGCAGCTTAAAGAAATAAAAGTAACATGTATCTCTAACATTTTGTTTTTCACCCTTTCTTTTTTGTAGACCTTCTACAGATTAAAAGAAACATGGTGATTATCTTTTTCTCACTAATTTGCTTTCAGGGTTACGATTACTCTTCGGGGGTTTGGCAATTTGAAGGTTATGGATATGTACCATCTGGAACATCTGGTGTGTGCATCATGCAAGTCTTTGGAGCACAGCTTCATGCTACGACTCTAATGCTTAGAGTTTACAATGGAAACCTCTCATACTATAAAAATCCTGTCATAGTCCCTAACATCGACAACAGGTGGTTCAAACTCAATGTAATTCATGATGTGGAAGCTAGCAAAGTCACAGTTTTCATTGATGGAGTCCAAATGTTTGAAACTGATGGGAGAGGTGGAAGTGACCATTTCTTCAAGTGTGGAGTTTATACACAAGATGATGCCTCTCATCGCATGGAGTCACGTTGGAAAGGAATCAAAATTCTTAAAAAAAATTAATTTATTAACGACAAGAAATGTGCTATTGATGCTTTTTTGGTTGTAATCCAAATCACTATGTCTATCTTTTGATGTTTTCCTTAACTATATATGTATATATATATATATATATAATTGCTATAGTCCATGAACATTTTCTTTTAGACAATGTATGATTTTCATTCTCCTCTTTTTGTTTTTCATTTTTGAAGGGTTAAAATAGAGAGGAGAGTAAGCTATCATCTATACAGCAACAAATAAGTTCAGTGTAATTTCTAATCAATACACGGTTTGTGTTTGTAGACATTGAACGAAAAATTATGTCAATCCAGATCAATTGAGTACTTAACATGTTTAATAATGATCTTTGACCAACGAAAATGTTCTGAATAAGATTGTGAAGTATATTATCTAAATAAGATTGGTGGGAAATTATTGTCCAATTAGTGTTATCAAGTCAAAGACTAAGTAGGAGGAGGATTGGATTGGTTGTAAGTTGAGCAAAATTACAAGTAAGAGATCTTGAGTTTCGATCCTCTTAAAAAAAAAAATTCAAAGACTAAGTACTTGGTCACTAACCCAAATAAAATTTTTCTTACATTTACCATTTCTAAAGTCCATAAAATAGTTAGGTGAACTAAGTTCATGACTCCACTTATAGACCTATAAATAAGTTTGTCCATAATTGCTACATTTAGGCATCTTTCAAAATCCACCACCCTTAGTTAACATTTGATAGTTTCATGCTACCATACTTGGTCATGTGTCATCAGTGGCACGAGAACGTATTTTACAGCTTGACCTTGGATCTCAAGATGATTTGATTGAGAAAGTCTTGCATATTTTGGTTAGAGGAACCGGCTAGTGCCACGGCTTCCTCAGCCTTCTTCTTCCACTTCAACGCACTCTCTTTAATCTCTGCTGCCTTCGGACCACATGTGGCCTCGACCAAACATTTTTCCACCTCTTCCTTTGGAATAATTTTGTCCTCCGCCACTCCTCTACACATCCTTATCCCAACTCTAAATTCATCGACCAAGTACTTGGCATTGGTGACTTGATCACCCCAGTGGGGAAAAGCTAAAACCGGCACTCCAGAAGCAAGTGCCTCCAGAGTCGAGTTCCATCCACAATGAGTCAAAAAGCAGGAAATGGAAGGATGTGCCAACACTTGTTGCTGTGGACTCCATTGCACTACCTTCCCTTTATCACCAACCTTTTCCCAGAAACCATCTGGTAAAACATGTGGCTTGCTGGAGTATAGTTTCTCGGGCGGCTTCATCACCCACAAGAATGAGACCCCAGAATTCAGCAATCCATATGCAATCTCCGTGACTTGTTCTTGCTTCAAGAAAACGACGCTTCCAAAAGAGATGTACACGACAGAAGACGGTGGCTTTGAGTCGAGCCACCCCATGCAGTCATCAGCCTTCAAAATATCAACACTTATATTTGAGCTTGAGACTTTGGGATTGATGAACAATGGCCCTATAGGCTTGACTGGGCAAAGCTTTGACATATAGTCAAGGACATCATCTTCAAGCTCCTGGAAAGTATCCATCAATATGCAAATACTTTTCGATAGGTTCTTGATCTGGCCCAAGATGGCCTTGATCATAACTGGTTTTGGGTTGAAAGGATGTAAGAGACTCGGTATCTCATCGTGCATCAGCACAGGCATGCAGGGCAGTTGAACATCGATTTGGGGTTCAGCTTGAGTGGGGAAAGGAACAAGGCCATGGTGATAGTGGTAAAAAGCTGAAAAGCAGGCACAAGACTCGATCCAAAATGCAGCACTAGGGATGTGAAGGGTCTCGGCTATATCACAAACCCAAGGAACAAAAATGCTGTAAATTAGGCAAGAAACAGGGCGACCTTCTCCCTCTTGTTTCTTGATCAGTTCAGGGAGTTTTTGCTTGCCAATGAACTCAAGATGAAGAATGTACAGGTCATAGTCACTAATCACTTCTGTTTCATCATCAAAGAATTCAAACCTGATCATTCCATCACCGACTGGGGTCGGCTCATCAGTACTGATATTACTATTGGCCTTTCTAATTTGTGCACCAATGATCTCTGGTGCTGAAAGGGTCACCAGAAGACCATTTGAAGCAAGGAGCTTGCCTAGTCTGAGCAGAGGATTAACATGTCCTTGCCCTGCAAACGACACTAGAAAAACATGAGGGTTAGGAGAAAGACTATTGCAGCTTTCAGAATCCATTTTTCAGAGCTTTTACTTTCGTAAGTTACTCAGCAAAATGAAAAGAGAGAAGGGAGATGAGATTGACTATATAATAATACAGTTGCTTGCTATGCCTGCAAAGGATTTGCCTTGATATTTATAACTTCATATTGCTATGGAAATATCTATTCATCTCATTTAATTTTTCACAAATATTACTGCCCCCCTTTCCTTTTTTTGTTCCTCAAACATGTTATAAATATTGATCAGTTTCAACTACTGATCTTCCACTAAATTGAACATTACTGCAAAAGAATTAATGTACTTTATACCATGTAACAAATTAAATAAAACGGATAGAGTACAAGTTTTACTGTACACTACCAGTATAGCCCGAACGTAATGTCGTTGTGCATATGCTAAGATGGAAAGATACCTGAGGAGGGTATTTCCAGCTCGGCTAGAGCTGGGATCCCGTCCTGTGTTTCTTCGTTCCGACTGCCTCGGCCTTTCACCATCGGGAATCGACTTCGGCCTAGTTACCGCCTCGGCCAAGGCTTTCTCTCACCAAGCCGAAGTCAAGTATAATGACCTGGCAACCGGAGTTGTGGAACATGGTCTCTGACACCTCTGACATTTCTGATAAAGCTACCCTGACATGCGCCGCCTGACACACAACTGTTCCGGCGTACCTTTCCACAGAGTCCATCAAGTCATCTTGATACGCTGACCCTGCCAGATCTCTAGGGACCCGTGCAAGCAGTCCCTCTCTCCTATCTGACTTCTATAAATACTCAGCACCTCTACTGAGAAAGGGGACGGCCAAATTTCTGGTAAAGGCATACTAGTCTTCTCTATACTTATTACTCTTTCACTCCCGAACTGACTTAAGTTTCGGAGTTACACCGGGGACTTTAGTCCCTCCTACAATTTAAGCAGGTGACCTCATCTGAGATAACCACCCAGGATAAGAGGCCTTCTCCAGCTCGGGTGACTCACTCCAGCAGGGCAAAAACGACCTCTTTAATTGGCGCCGTCTGTGGGAACGCGAAGACATCAAAGAATGAAGCCTACGCGTTCTAGGAGCAGGAAAGCTCTCACTATTGGGGCTGAGCAGAGTAATGTAGCTCAGCAAGAAGGTATCTCTGAAGGGCAAGAATCCCCAAGGACCCAGCCCGCAAACGGAGAAGCCATAACCCGTATGGCCGAGTTTGTGACCGAGAACCCTAACATTTTCGAGGAGTTAGGGAGGTATCTCAAGAGACAAGGCAAGCAAAAGCTCGAGTCCTCTAAAAGGAAGTCGGATGGATCCCCTGAAGGTTCGTCCGAAGAAGAGTCCGATGGGAGACGCTTGAGCCGAAGTGCTTCGAAGAAAGCATTCTCCAAGGCCATCTCTAAGGTATCCTCCCTGACCAGGTCTTTATCAAGAGGGCTTTTGGGCCGACGACCTAAGGAATCTCGGCCCATGGAGAGAGCCGGGGTGGATTACCAGAGGGATCCACCCTTCACCGATGACATCAACGAGGAGAGACTTCCTCCCAACTTCAAGCTTCCCTCGATACCGTCTTATGACGGCCGAGGTGATCCGGAAGACCACATTCATGCCTTCATCTCGGCCTTCCGCCTATATTGCATCCCTGATCCCGTCATATGCCGGGCTTTTCTAGTATTCCTCCAGGGGACAGCTCGAAAATGGTTCTGGGGTCTAAAACCTAGAAGCATTTCAACTCTGGGGGAATTAGTGGAGAAATTTCTTCACCGTTTTGTTTCCTCCCGACCGACGACCCGGACCTCGGCTTATCTGCTGAATATGCAGCAGAACCCGGGGGAATCACTTCGGTCGTATGTCCAGAGGTTCCACGAAGAAAGCGTGCAGATACCTAACCCTAATGAGCAGGTCACCATTGCCGCTTTCACCCATGGGCTCGTTGCCGGGGTATTCAACACGGGGATCCACAAGAAGTATCCCCGTTCACTCCACGAATTGTGGTTGAAGGTCGAGAAGGGCATACAGGCCGAGGACCTCAACCGCATGAAAAAAGAAGTCCAACCTGCTCGCCCGAGGGTTGACGCCCGAAGAGGGAAGGAGCCTAGCTGAAGTGAAGCGGGGACAGGAAGTGGCTTCCAGAGTCCCGGCCGAGATCGCCGGAGTGTGTTCGACAGGATCTCAAAGGGAAAGTCACCCATTCCTGAATCCGAACTGACTCCCTTAAACACTTCCCGATCTCGCGTGCTGTCTGTAATGGAACAGAACAACCTCGGGAAAGCCCCTCCCAAAATGTTCGGCAACAGAGACAAGAGGAACTCGAACCTCTACTGTCTGTACCACCGGGACGTCGGGCACGAAACTGAGGACTGCAACGATCTCAAAAAAGAGATCGAGAACCTCATCAGACAGGGTCACCTGAAGCAGTTCATCCGCCGAAGTGGCGGACAGCCACGTAATGAACCCCGACGAGATAGCCGGGGTGATCAACGCCGAGATGAAAGGCGACCCTCTAGGAGCAGTTGCAGGCCTCCAGAGGAACCTAGGGAGACAAAAAGGCCTCCCCGAGATGGATCTTCTGGACATGGATTAGGGTATGGATCCAACATAGTCGGGGTCATCAATACGATTGCCGGAGGTCCGACGGGAGGGGATAGCCAGAACTCCCGGAAGAGGACCTACAGGCAGGCTAATCCGGACCAGGCAGAATCGAGCTCTCGCCTGTCCGAAGTCCTTTCCTATGGTCCTACTGACCCCGTCCCGGCTGCCTCCAGCAGTCATGAAGCCTTGGTGATTGAAATCCTCACCAATAACTACATCGTGAAAAAGGTTTACATTGACCCGGGAAGTTCAGTTGACGTCATGTACCTCCGTACCTTTGAGAGCCTTAAACTGGTTAGGGAGTGCATAACCCCGGTGAGAACCCCTCTTGTTGGGTTCGGGGGACACATTGTGCACCCCGAAGGGATGGTGGCTTTGACAGTGACTGTAGGGCGTCACCCCCGCTGCAGAACTATCCCCGTTAACTTCGTAGTAGTTAGGGCTGACTCGCCGTACAACCTACTCCTAGGTCGTCCAACACTTAATGCTTTGCGGGCAGTATACTCCACCTACCACTTAAGCTTCAAGTTTCCTACTCCTGCGGGAGTGGCCGAAGTCAGCAGCGACGTCTGCGCTGCCCGAGAATGCTACCTCGCCACTCTACAAGCAGCCTCCCCATCAACCTCCGGGGCAAGGCCCGAGAAGAGGTCAAATATCCTCTCGATAGATAGCATTGATCCTCAGCGAGCTGAGAAGATCCCAAGGCTGGAGACTGGGGATGAGGTGGAGGAGATCCCTCTCAACCCCACGAAGCCTGACCAGACAGTTCGTGTTGGGTCCCGACTGCCCGGCCCTGTCAAAAGAGCTATGGTGGACCTCCTCAAAGAGTACCGGGACGTCTTTGCTTGGGCCGCAGAAGAGGTTCAAGGAGTCCCGCATCATCTCATGATACATGAGCTGAATGTCGATCCCCAAGTCCGTCCGGTCAAACAAAAAAGAAGGCGCCTCGGCCCTGAGCGCAGCTGAGCTGTGGGCGAGGAGGTAGACAAGCTCCTCCCTGCAAAGATCATCCGGGAGGTCCAATATCCGACCTGATTGTCCAACCCGGTCATGGTAAAGAAAGACACCGGGGACTGGAGAATGTGCGTCGACTTCACCGACCTCAACAAGGCTTGCCCCAAGGACTGCTACCCGTTGCCCAAGGTCGACACCTTGGTAGACTCGGCAATGGGTTATGATGTCCTCTGCTTTTTTTATGCCTTCAAAGGATATCACCAGATTGGGATGAGTCCGGAGGATCAGGAGAAGACCGCCTTCTACACCGACAGAGGCACATATTGTTACACCACCATGTCTTTTGGATTGAAGAATGCCGGGGCCACGTATCAACGCTTGGTTAATCAAGCCTTTAAATCTCAAATCGGCCGGACTGCCGAGGCTAACGTAGATGATGTCCTCTTGAAGAGCCAGACAACCTCCACATTCCTTGCCGACCTGAAAGAAGTCCTGGAAGTTCTTCGGGAGACACGAATGATGCTGAACCCCAAGAAATGTGTTCTCGGGGTCACTTCGGGAAAGTTCCTGGGCTACCTCGTCTCTAGGCGGGGTATTGAAGCAAATCCGGACAAGGTGAGAGCCATCCAAGAAATGTCCCCACCACGGTGCGTCCGCGACGTCCAGAGGCTCAGGGGGCGATTGGCCGCCCTGAACCGGTTTTTATCACAATCCGCCTCCAAGGCACTGCCATTTTTCAAAGTTCTCAAGAAAGCTGACAAATTTTCCTGGACGGAAGAGTGTCAACGGGCGTTTGAGCAGTTGAAGGATTACCTCAACCGCCTCCCAACACTCACCTCACCTCGTCCAGGGGACAGGTTATTCTTGTACCTGTCTGCTGTGGCTGAAGCCGTAAGTGCCGTACTGATAAGGGAGGAAGATGCCCAAACACCTGTTTATTATGTCAGCCGAGTCCTCCGAGATCCGGAGACCAGGTACACTCAGGCGGAGAAACTTGTGCTGGCCTTAATCCATGCAGCTCGTAGACTTAAGCCCTACTTCTTGGCCCATCACGTCTGCCTAAGGACAGACCAACCACTTCAGCAGGTCCTATCGCGGCCGAAGGCCTCTGGACGCCTCACCAAATGGGCCATCGAGCTGGGAGAATACGACTTATCTTATGAGCCTCGCACGGCAATTAAAGCCCAGGCTCTCGCGGATTTCTTTGCCGAGCTTACTTTTGAGAAAGTGAGTGAGACCATCCCGGCTACAACCCAGGCTGTCACCTCGTCCAGCGCCGAGCCTCAACGATGGACCTTGCATGTGGATGGTTCATCCAATAGTGAGGGTAGTGGAGCCGGCCTGCTCCTCGAAGATCCCCAAGGAGAAATTTGCTCGTATGCCTTAAGGTTTGATTTCGTAGTCTCAAATAATAAAGCCAAATACGAAGCTGTCATTGCCGGCTTACAACTAGCTCGAAAGCTCGGGGCCGCGCATATCTTGGTCTACAGCGACTCCC